CCCCAAAACCCCAAAACCCCAAAACCCCAAAACCCCTTACTAAATGGTGTCTTGAAATAAATTTTTATAAGATTATATAACTAATGGAAGAAGGCGACAGCCCGGAGATTAAGACTACAAATAATATCAGAGATCTTAGTTCATTTCACCATTTAAGAAAGGTCAAGCTTGATCTAGATAGTCCAAGGCTAAAAAAGTCCTGCTTTAATTTAGGAATTGAGCCAGAGGAACTACTTATGAAGGACAAGGCAGAATTTGATAACAAATAAGTTGCCAAAAGATGTCGTCGATCTTAGATATAAGGTATGCAAATCCCAGTATTCCTTCTAAATAGATAAGCTCCTTGGCAATTCAAAATAGTTCTAACGTTTCTTCTAGCATTTCATGGCCAGGCTAATAGACACTATTAATAGAGTTTTGCATGAGAGAAGGAAGATAATTCTACAAGAAAGGAAAAAGGAGAAAGCTTTAACGAGTTCCCCAGCTGTTACATTTAGCCATAGATATGAATCGATGTTTGATCGCCCAAGGAGAAACGGCTCAATGGAGGCTCCAAAAGTGAATGCTGACATAATGATGTCTACCCAACCTGTCTTAAATAAGATTGGATTGTAAGCATTCCCAAATATAATACACTAGGCCTGAACTCAAAGTAACTGAGTCTATTAAAAAGGTCAGAGATAGAAAGACAAAGCTTTTCATGATGGATAATGCTAAAGGAGAGAAGAGGATTCAAGATTATCAGAAAAAGTGGAAGGAAGCCCAAAAGCAAAAGAATAAAATCCTTCAGAATCAAGTAGAAAAAATTCAGAAAAAGGAGCAAAAGAGACTTGAATCCTTGAAGAAATATGAACAAATAGAGAAAGCTCATGAAAAGAAGGTCAGACAAGATCATAGGGAATTTCTCCAGAAATGAAAGATAAAGGAGAAGAATAGAAAAGAAAAGGAGAGAGAAAGATACCTCAAATTGAAAAAGCAGGAAGATGAGTTCAAAGCTAAGAGAGGCAATATTATGAACATGCAGAAGGTACTATTCTGATATTCCTATTTTATTTACCTTCTTCATTCTCTAGAGAACTTGGAACTCTCCAGTTTTTTCCTACTACAATGTTTCCGGGTGCTTATTGGTACATCTAAAACCAAAATATAGGAAAATGAGATGCAGGAGTTTGAGAAATCTCAGAAGTTACTATCTGAAATCACAGATAAAATAAACACTAGCATGCAAAATGAGCAAATCCTTCTAGAAAGTACAAAGAAATAAAGCAAAACAATTCAATGATGAGGCTTATGACAAGCTTAATCATTATAAGAAGAACTCTGATTTTAGTGACAAAGAGAAGCTAGAGAAGCTGTTTAAGCAGGAGATGAAAAATTTGAAGAAAATAGATAATCTTCACAAAAGCTGTACTAATTTATGGGATTCCATTAAGAAGAAGCATAATGAAAAATTTGAGCAAATCAAGAACAACAGATTGAAAGTTGGTAAGATCAAGAAGAAGAAGATTAATGAGCTTATTAAGAACCAGAACAAGAGCCAAGAAGCAATAGATGAACATCAGAAGAAGGTTCAACATAACATAATGCTGAAGCAAGAACTTCGTAAACTTCGTGAACAAGACATCCAGCTAACAATTGAGAGGAACAAAAGACTTGGGAATATTAAAAAGGAGGAGATTATACAGAAGAATCTTAAATCAATCCATGCAATTCAAAATACAAAAATAGCAAATGAGATCATGCAGAAGAAGATGGTAGAGGATAATGTGAAAGAACTGAAGTTTAAAAATGATCTTTCCAGTCTTTTTACAAAGATGCACAAATCAAATAGTATGCCCTCTTTGGAGACATAATGATTTTAGTAAAATTCAGCCTGAGTTTTAACAAATGGGGTTTTGGGGTTTTGGGGTTTTGGGGTTTTGGGGTTTTGGGG